CTCCTCCCCTGCAGCCCCCCCTCCAGCTCTTTTGCCTCCCATTGGCTCAGTGTCCTCTCATTTACACCTCTTAGTTTATTTGGGGGAAAATACACCTGGTATATTCTCAACATGAGGATTTCATTATAGACTGAAAATAGAGCCAAAGGCCTACAGTGTGTGCGTCTCCCCTAATTGAGGATTGTTCTCATTGCCAATTCTGGATCATCATATTATTCACAAAATCACTAAGAGGTAACAGAATATTTCATGGCACCTGAACGACTGCCTGGAGATAGGAAATGATCAGATTTTAAAATTATTCTATATATTTTAAGGTTTTATTTATTTTTATTTTATATTTATTTTCATTTTATATATTTGAGGGTTTGCCTGCATGTATGTGTATCACATGCATGTAATGTGCATGGAGACCAAAAGGGGACTTTATATACCCAAGAGCCGGAGTGATTGGTAGTTGGTAGCCGCCATGTGGGTGCTGGGAACCAAACCTGGGTCCTGCAAAAGCAGCCAGTACTCTTAACCACTGAGATATGTCTCTAGACCCTAATTTTATTTTTTAACTGATACATAAAAACAAAAACAAAACATGTCTACTAATTAGGGGGACAGAGCTTGTTCATGTTGGACACTGACTTCTTTTTGTCCCTTTGCATTGAAAGTCCTTAAAGCCTGGAATGCTTAGGTGCTGTGCGTTCATCCGTCCCCTGGAGACTTTGGACTCACCTCAGCCAGTAATGCTTGTTAGAAACTTCTTCACATGGTTTTTAGTGTACAACTTGGAAGATGAAAATTAAGTCAGTTTTATTTAAAATGGTCTATTAAAAAGAATGGGACAATGACTGACTGAGATTTAAGAAATAATAAAGTGTAGCATTAGGTGGAGATTTGTGGATAGACTAGACGCAGCATAGGGACCCACCATATTGGAGATTTTTTCAGACTGTGTGTGTGCTAAGGTTGCAGATATGCATCACCCTGGCTTTTGACATGGTGCTGGTGATCGGGTCCTGTGTTTGCACAGCATGTCCTTTCCCCACTGAGCCATAGCCCCATCTGTTCAGTATTCTCATAAGTGACTCAGGAAGTGATACATGGGGAATTTATTAAATGTGATGTCTTGTGTGTGTGGAAGATAGAAAGTATGAGTCTCATGCATGGGAGAGCGACAGAGATTAGCAGAATGGTGATGCAGCCTGCCATGTACCTCCCTGAGCTCCCAGGATTCTGTCTGCCTGGCTTCCACAGCTTCGAACCTGCAAAAGGTCTTGGGCTCACTCACACCGTACTTACAAGGGTCACTGTCGCGGTGTTCTGTCTCACCTGCTGTTCTCCTGCAAACTCTGTGGAGAGTGTATGTATTAGTCACTTTTCTGTTGCTGTGATAGAAACACTGACCCAAGAAGTTTATAGAAGGAAGAGTTTATTTGAGCTTATGGTTCCAGGGAAATTACAATCCATCATGACAGGGAGGCATGGTGGCTGGAGGTGCGTGCCTCATGTAGACTGACTGCTCCGTGCTGTCACTGCAGCCTGGAGAGCCCTTAGATTTCACAGCAGTGACTAAGCACAGGGGAGGTGGTGAGATGCTGAACGGGAGAGGCAGGAACTGTTTGGGGAGCATGTCTATGGGGAATATCCAGCTCTTAATGTGCTCGAAGTCTTCATGTCACAGGCAAACCATCATGCTCTCCCCCATGGGTAAAAGTCTGCAAGTCCATGCTGCCAGGGTCCCGTGCTCACGTGTCAGGGATGGCAGTGCTGTAGTCTATACAAGTCAGATGGTGTCTCTTCTGACCAGAAGAACTAGAGACACCACTTCTTGCATGTGGAGTATGCGCTGGTGTGCACTGTCTGTGAGGACTGCTAGTGTGAGCACCAGCAAGGGGGACAAGGCCTGCATTCCGGTGTAGTGGCTGAACACGCTCTGTGAACAGAGATGTCTGCCCTGGGGGCGGGGCTTGCCGCTTGATTGATGGAGATCCTCTTCAAGAGCTCAGAGCATTTATTTCTCAGTCTGTTATTCCTGTGTGCTTTTCACTTCTGGTGTCTGTGTTTGCAGGTCATGTAGACAGTGGATATTACCCTTTCTCAGACTGTGACTTTTCTGCATAGACTTGCAGACCGAAGGGTCATTTTTGGAAGCAGAGCGTCTCAGTGTTGGTTCTTTCCACTTGCCTGTTTCACTGCTGGCAGCTCTCTTAGGAGGTATGTCCACAGTTTTCGGGAGCTGCTTCCTAGATGGAACACATGTCTGTGTCTCTTGCTTAATTTTATTAAACTTAGGTACATGAATCTATAGTCTCTTTTCCCCAGAATCATATGGTTGAGATGATGAGATGAAAGTACCCACCAAGCCATAACAGCGTCCTTGGACCTTGCATGGAGGCATTTTAAACCCCTAGGTCCTTCCACAGCATGTGTGACGCACAGGTGGTAGGGTCTGGCAGAGTATCACTGGTCATTGCTGCTGAACGCAGCACTGGTTTGTGCAAGTCCTGACGTTCTTAAACATTTCTGTTGCCTCTGATGTGAGCCTTTGAAACGTTCTTTGTGTGACTCGGTGGCTGTGAGCTGGTCTTTCTTTGATGATTCTCTGTCAGAAGCAACAAGGCCATTAAGTGGCTCAGCCGCAGGTTAAGTGACCAGCTCATGGAAATGGTCCTACCGCACTCGAAGTTCTGAATTGTAAATGTTAGAATGAGAATCTCTGGGAGTTCCCGAAACCTCCCCGACACAGTAGGACCTCAGAGAGCCGTCACATCATGTGATGGGGATGTCAACCATAGGTCACATTTGTGCACGTGGACACCACTGTAGCTGCGGCATAAAGCTTGACTCGTTGACTAGGAGTATCAGAAGCACCAATTAAAAGACAACTTTGTCACCTCCATGAGCCTTGGGGCCCACGCTAAGTGCAGCTGTAGACCTTGAGAACTTGGTGTGCAGTTAAGGAAACAAATCAGAGAATTTGTAGGATAAGAAGATGTTGATTGATAAGGGAGGTTATTATACATACATGTACCGTGTGCATACATGTATGTGTACACTATTCTGGGTGGACTGTAGGTTTGGGTTTTGGCAACTCCCTGAAATAGGGAACTTAAGCTGTGGAGTACAGTAGATGTGAGAATTTTAAATTTGTAGTGTGTTGAGTTTGTGGTGTCTGAAATGTTAGTCTGTCAGACATTGAATACAAGATTTGAAACATATGAGGAAGCAGGAATTGGTAAATTTGTGTGATCGTAAAGTATATTTATTCATGTATTTACCTTAATTTACATTTAAAGTTGACGTTGTGTTCATTTAAACTGGATTTCTCATGGACCACATGTGGCCGAGTCTCGTCTTCTGCCAGATTCCCTTTTCCAGTGATTATCCTAAAGTTCACACTGAACGCTGAGAACCACATGACTCCAGCTGGAATGACCCTGTGTGATGTTGACTGCCTGAGGCCGGGTCCAAGCTTCTCGGCGCTCTTCATGACTTGGAAGTGTGTGTTAGGTGCAGACGCACTGCTGTCTGTCATTCCCAGAGAGCTGCTTACAGAAGTCAGCGAGAGAAATCAATCAGAATTTTTGTGTTCTAGTTACTAGTTCTCAGCCGCCTCCCCTGTCTTCTCTGGCCTGTGTCATTTTCCCTTTTTGTAGATGATTCTCAAAGGCTAAGTGTGCTGACTGACAGGGGTCCTGCTGTGCAGGTCATTGGACCCCTGCTTTTCATTTTTTTCACTTGAACTGTGTAGTATTTATCTAGATAGGCCATGTATGAGGCATATGTCCCTCTAAGTACTTGACCGTGTGTTTGTGTTCTTGTGATTGATTTTTGACATTGCTTTACATGCTGAGGATTGAAATCCTCAGAAGAGTTTGTAAATATTTTATCACAATCTGTGTCCCCTCCACTTTCTATTGTATTTCTAGTAGCTAAAGTTTTAACTTTATGTGAATTTTCTAGTAAAGGTTTTGTTTGTTTGTTTGTTTGTCTGTTTGAGACAGGGTCTCCCTGTAGCCCCAGCTGGCCTGGATCTTGCTATGTAGACCAGGCTGCCCTGGATCTCACATAGATCCACCTACCTCTGCCTGCCGAATGCTGGGACTAAAGGCGTGCGCCACTTGGTAATGGTTTTGATCTCTTGTGTAAATCCTTTCCACCCAACTTAATGTCAAAGATTTTCTCTCATGGCTCGTTTCAGATGTTTACAGTTTAAGGAGTGTTAATGGCCTACTTTGAATTGATTTGTGCGTGTGGTGTTTGAAATACTTTTTCACCTTTCTGAGTGTGACTTTCCCTGGTTTTTTGCTGAAAAAGAAAAATCTTCCATAGCTGACTCTCCCTGTGTGTTTGTCAAAAGTCAGTTGAGTATGTGCGTGTGGGCCTCTTACTTCAGTTCCTTCTGTCTTTCCTATTTTCCATCTCCTCTCGGGTACTGCTTTTTTTGTTTTGTTTTTGTTTTTTGTTTTTTTTTGCTATAGATATTTATTAGTCTTGAAATCAAGGATGTGTAAGTCCTCCAGAATTGTTGATATATTTCAAAGTTCCTTTGGCCGCTCTAGGTCTTTTATGTTTCCGCATGAGTTTCGTTAGCACTGTGAACTTGCACAACAGCACGCATGAACATGTTGACTGGGAGTGCGTCAGGTCTGGGGTGTGGTGTGATGTCTTCGCAGTGCAGGTCTTCTGTCTGTGAATATGGGTGGTATGTGGTCTGTTTCTTCGGTGTTTAGTGTCCTTCAGTAGCACATCACCTCGTCAGTGTCCAGGTCTAGGGCATCTCTTGCCTCTTTATCCCTAAGTATTCATGTTTTTCGTTCTCAAACATTCTCGATCCCCTCCCCATTTTGTTTTCAGTTATACAGTCACCGCTTATTGCTATGACATAGAAATGCAATTTACCAGGGCTGACGAGA